CAATAATTGTGAAACCACGGACTGCTAATAAATCTAGACTATACAATAATTGTTAAACCACGGACTGCTAATAAATCTAGACTATACAATAATTGTTAAACCACGGACTGCTCACATAGTTTTCTACTTATCGGCTATACTTTTATGAAACCTTTAAAATTAGTGTTATATATACTCACTTTTGGGCCTTGAGTGAGTTATAACAGGGACGATTAAAGTAGCCCACGAGTTGGCGGTGGGCGCTGTTGAATAGCTTCCTTTTCTCTATTTTATCACTTCACAATTAGAGTGGCTAGTGTAGGTAGTCTTCGAGTAGCTATTTTAGTATTAGTACCCCCTTGAAATTATTGTTTTTTTACAATTTAATCTAAGCCTTTCCTTGAATTCATTAAGCATGAAATCATGATAGTTTATTAAGCGAATAATAATTAACATGCCTTGAATTAATTGACTAATATTTATCACTTGAATATATAAACTTTTATATTATAAATACAAGTACAGTACTTCAAAGAAGGTAAAAAAAACAACATGACACTTGTCAGCAGTGAAAGTCAGAAAATTTCGGAGAGTTACTAAAACTCTCCATGTATCTAGGTCAAACGTTTGAGTAGAAATAGGATAATATCATATCTCACGGGGGTTCTTTTATTATGGCAGACCTATAAATCGGACGTGTAAACAAGGAAGTACTCGTGCATTTTACCTCAGACTTCTAAAATCACGTGATCAGTGAAACCATCTGTGTTATTAAAACATACCTGTGTATTTAACTTGTTAGTAGTTTTTGGAAAATAGAACAACATTGTAGAAGAGGTGGATACAGCTGTACTACGTTATTTTTATATTTATTTATAGGTTAATGTTGATTAGCTTTTAAACATAAAACAATTTACAGGGTCGTAGCCAGCACCACATAGCGGAGAGTTGTTTTTCCGAAGGAATATCGATCTTTTTTTTTTCTACACAGATTATTTAAGTGCTTTACAAAAAAGTCAAGTGCTTATTGAAAACTCACAGGACAGTGGCCTGTTTAGAGCCCCTCCCCCAGACTACGCCCCTGATTTAATTAAATAAATTTACATGTTACAAGATATATGAAATATAAGTATCATTAAACTGTAAATAGTTTAGTTTACACAAGTGAAACTGAATAACTAGTGCTCGCTCTATAGAACTTGAAGTTTTGAATCCATTCTTAACTTCTGACTTATCAAGAAGTGAGTTACGTTTGTAGTTGAAATAAGATGGAGGACTATTTGTTTTAATAGCTGACCTGATCAGACAACCTGGTCCAATACTCACTCTGGAAACGTTGACTTGATTTGCAAATGGTAAGCTTACTCTTGGCTTTCGAACCCACGCGGTCAGCCAAGGGAAATAACCGACATAATGTGGCAACTGTTGAAGCACCAACTTCTCTGACTGAACTAGCCAATGGGGTTCCTCCACTAGTCATATTGCCAGGAAAGTGCCAGAGAAAACAAAATCACTAGTCTATAGAAGGATGTGCTGGCATTATATTTTATAGAAATGATGTATTAGAGTATCTGAAAAAAGTTCAGCATCTTTTTAATCTGTTTGATGTCTTTCCTGGGCTTAAGTGGCCAAGAATAGACAATATGAAGGAAAATACACCGAATTCTCATCCTGAAAGATAAAGTCCCATAACAATAGTAGCTGTCTGCTGTACTGTCTTACCCACAATGGTTCTGATGAAGTCCAATAGCAACAGTAGCTGTCTGCTGTAATGTCTTACCTACATTGGTTGTGACGAAGTCCCATAACAACAGTAGCTGTCTGCTGTAATGTCTTACCTACATTGGTTCTGACGAAGTCCCATAACAACAGTAGCTGTCTGCTGTAATGTCTTACCTACATTGGTTCTGATTAAGTCCCATAACAACAGTAGCTGTCTGCTGTAATGTCTTACCTACATTGGTTCTAATTAAGTCCAATAACAATAGTAGTTTCTGCTGTAATGTCTTACCAACATTGGTTTTGATTAAGTCCCATAACAACAGTAACTGTCTGCTGTAATGTCTTACCTACATTGGTTCTGACGAAGTCCAATAACAACAGTAGCTGTCTGCTGTAATGTCTTACCTACATTGGTTCTGACGAAGTCCCATAACAACAGTAGCTGTCTGCTGTAATGTCTTACCTACATTGGTTCTGATTAAGTCCCATAACAACAGTAGCTGTCTGATGTAATGTCTTACCAACAATGGTTCTGATGATAGCTTCAGCCAGCCTTGGGCTTGATCTGAATGGAGCTTATTTTTTTATTATTATTTTAATTCTCTATATTAGGCTCCTTTTTACTTGAAATATATTAGATCCAAGCCATGCTTGGTTTGATTTCATATATTTGTATTTTATCGTGTACATTTAAGCTGAAGTGTCTTCGTATTTTCCATTCAATTTACCACATGGCTAACATTGTTTTATATATTTGTTTTGTTTTCAGATGTTCGCGCAAATCTATTCAACGGATATCTTTGCTATCCGATCCTAATATCGAACGGATAGGCCAGAGGTAAAGCAGCTAGTCGACAGTACCCACCGCCAACTTCTTAGCTACTCTTTCCTGAACGGGTATTAGGATTTGCTTGTCAACCTTATGATGTTTCAAAGCCTCAAAGTTCCATAATCCAGCATGTTAGCTACTGGGTCAAGTTCGGTCTTTCTTATATATCTTTGCAAGCAAAAGTACCCGTCCCCAGTGACGAAAAAAAGTTTAAGTTAATCAATCAATTTAAATTATTTCATGGACTTTAAAAAAAGATTAAGTATGTTACACTTTTGGTTTCACTATGAACCAAAGCTCTGAGCTACTTATACCGCCCACCACGAAAAGTAATTGTTGAACATTTCAGTCATGCTAAGAGTCACTCAACAATAACATAGGTAAATCTACATTTTAATTGTTTAAGTTACGTCCACATTTTGAAATGTGAATGATATTGTGATTAATTCCTAACAATGTAGTGTAGAATATCTTACTTTGGAAATAAAATTTTGTATCAACATTATTCATGTCTGTTCTCCTGTCATTTCTAACGTGAATGTTGAGCTTTGCCTGCGTGCGAAGCTTTTCAGACGGGAGACAGACATCGTGATTCACAATATATATAAATTTGATTTTACTTGACATATCTAACTAGTCACAATGTTAGTTTTGTATTTTTAGTTAAAATCAATTTTGTATACTCAACTTTATTTTATGGATCTTATTTAATTTGTGTTTTGTAAGTAGTTTGATTTTCTTCTTTATCTGATTTTACAATTTACTTTAAGTATGCAGTCAGCTTTAATTACCTTAGGATTATATTTGATTTCAACAAGGTTAGTTTATTTTAGGGTTTCCCCTGTGATAAAGTTCTGAATTTTCGTGCTGACAATCCGGATTCGAATCCATGCGATACCACAATATATTCTCTCCATGTTAAGCTGCGTTATAAGAGTGACAGTCAACTCCTTAGCATGGACGATGGGTGTTAGAGTGCTGTTGACTGGTGACCTTCCCTCTGGTCGATAACTCAAAATCAAGAATGGCGACAGCTGATCTTAGTAGTTTTACCATAAATACAATAATTGCTTATTTTTAGATGCTTAATTTTTATTGGAGTACTTTCTTTGTTTGCCTATGTGTAAATATCATGACTTCGTGCATGTTCACTAAGGGGGTCGGCGGCAAGTATACGGACTTCCAACACTATATTCCAGGGTTCAATTCCCCCTGGTGGACAGAGCTCAGATAGCCTATAGTGTAGCTTTGAGCTAAAAGGAAGCACACATTTATACAAACATATAATTTTGTTAGTTAAAATTTTTATTTGTATTTTTTTAACTTTTAATTTCAAGACTAGAAGATCTTGAGATAAGGAAGGGAGGAGAGTGATATTTCGTTATTCTATAAGTAGATTTAGGGCTAATTATGAGTTTAAAATTTTCCATGCAGGTCTCTTGCATTGGATTAATTCGTGCCCTTGTAAATATGATGTCGTAAAGTTGTGCTAATTTCATGCCTTAGACAAATGTGACGTATTGCAATGACTGTTCAATAAGGCTTATAATTATTTGGTTCTGTTTCTGTGTCATGCCCTACTGAAATGAAGCCATACTTATTGAAAGGGGTGGTACAGAGACTTGTAAAAGTTAGTATGGTTTGAAGGTATATCTCACTTGGATCTTTGTTCTGGGATTGATCATTAATTATAATCTGGGATTTTAGGATAATGTACTAGGAAATTTTCTTTGTCTGGTGCAAACATACTGTCTTAAGCTCCAGGAGTCAGGGATAATATATATATAGCAGTTTGGAGAAAACCCTCGTAACATGTATGACACAGCTGGATATGTTTTTTTTCTCTGTTTAACATTCCCAGAACTTGTTGCTTATTGTGAATAATCATTCGTAATGTAATTTTAACTTTACTATTGCAAGCACCTGAAACGAAGTGTTACAGGAGATTCTCGTGAATATCCTGTGATACTGACCGTCAGAATCCAACACAGGAGATTCATGAGTATCCTGTGATACTGACCGTTAGAATCCAACACAAGAGATTCGTGAGCACCGTGTGATACTGACCGTCAGAATCCAACACAGGAGATTCATGAGTATCGTGTGCTACTGACCGTCAGAATCCAACACAGGAGATTCGTGAGCATCGTGTGCTACTGCCCGTCAGAATCCAAC